ATCTAAGAACCAACAGGTGTGCTTATTTCGTTGAATTTATTTTAATTGTTATGTAAATACAACTATGAAACTCAATATGTCTATTTGCTTCCATTTTAGAAGCTGAAAAATACCCAGAAAGCCTTTTTTAAATTTTATCAAAAAAAATAAAAACACCATGATGTTATTTGGAAGTTGGGAGGAAAGCATTCACTACTCACTCTGTAAAAAGAAATAAAAGAACCAAGTAGATTGGCCAACAAGTGACACAAATACAGTACATACTAATGTGCATAGAGAAACTACCTTATAAGATTAAACAGCCTGCACCAGTAAAAAGTATCTTTATCTGGATATGTGGTCCTTTGTGAATTATAGTATTATTTTAGTTGATTTTACCTGACATCACCCTATGATTTTTTTCAATGACAAGAAAATTGCAGCTGGCCTTTGACAGTCGGTCACAAATTGACTGAACAAAACAAAATCAAACAGCAAAGTAATCCCCAAGTAAATTTAATGAAACCTCAATCCCAAAGGGCAGCACACTTCTGTAGGCAATGGTCTTATTTAATAAATTTTTTCCTGCATTCACTTTTAGAGCTATATTTACACAGACAGATTTAATTCATTGGGTTTATATTTCCTCTCCCCCTTAGTCTGTCCACCAGGCACATATGAGAAGGACTGTAACCAGGCATGTCAGTGTGCAGCCAAGAATGAGGACTGTCACCCAGTCACAGGGAGATGCACTTGTCTGCCTGGCTACCATGGAAACCACAGTCATCTCCATAAGTGTGGTCTGTACTTATTTCTAATTTACTGAGGAGACCCCAAAAGGAAGAGTCACTGCTCAGAGTGCTAAAGGGCAAAAGTTAATTCAAACTTGTGATTCATTGAAAATACTGTGGGATATTTTTTTACATGAGTCCTAAAATCATGTATTTACTCATGTAAATTATTCTTCTATTTCCATTTTCTATTCACAATATCCCCAAATTCTTCACAATTATCAACTATGAAAATAAAGAGGGAAAGAAAAAGAAGAAGATATAAACTTATAAAGCAACATATAGCAAATGTCAGTATATTTAAAGGGATTCATACAGTAAGTTAGTCCCGGGGTCTGCTTAGGGACAATCAAATTAAACGAATTGTTATTCTGGAATGAAAATGATGACTTGCTTACATGACAAAATGCCAATTGGCTCTGTTGTGTAATAAAAAATAATAGTCCCTAGACCAAACACCTTATATTGATTTGTTAGGACATTTTGACATGGAAAATTGTTATAGAAGAATGGATAAGGAAAAAGTCCCAAAGAGCATGTTAAAATGTTCAGTCAGCTACTTAATTTTTAAGCTTGTAATTATTTATAATGTACTTTTTATAGGTTCAAGAATAAAAAGATTTGAGCTCAGGTTTGTTTTTCCCCCAACTTGGCCATGGCTACTCTATTTCTTCCCTAGTTCTTCTTATAGCATATTCTTTTCCCTTTCCTTTTCTACTTCTACAAAGATATGGATGACTTGGGGATCTATGTTCCCCAACTATCACTTAAACATAGACTTGTGTTCAAGCTATTTAATTTTCTACATGCCACAGAATATATATTTTAATACCATTTCTCTATTTTAAACATGACAGGCTAAAACAAAATTAAACATGTACAAAAAGAGCTTCAATTAGAATATTATTTGAGGCCCATAACTGTTATAGTATTCAAACTTAAAACAAAAAAAACTAAAATATAAAATTAATCAATTTCTATTAGTTTTTGGTTCTGGCAAATTTCAAGTATATTTGTAGTAGAAGAAAGGAAGACATTTCCTCCATATGTTTGTGGAGAGATATATCTGTCACGTATCTCAGAAAAACTTCCATTTTGATCTCAAGGATATTTAATCTTGGTGAAATATTGTCAATTTATCTATAACGGGTTGTGCTCTCATTTCCAAAGGCAAGCTACCTTGGCTTAGAGCAGGGTGGCTTCACCTTGTAAACGTGAGGCTGACTGAGTCAGGACGCAGCTCCCTGACCAGGCAAACTGGCTTAGTTCCACGCAACACGTGGCTGGATGTGGCTGCAAGGATTCCTTGGCAACATCCACTGTAATTAGAGGACTAAGAAAAAAAGAATCAGAAAATATCCATAAAAGGTACAGCTGGCGCAAGAGCAAAAATTTCAGCAGCCAAGAACAACTAGGCTTTCATGTTCTCAAGTTCAGAGTAGAGAATAAAAATTTTCTCTCAGCAGGGTCAGAGGAAGCTGACAAACTTGCAGCAAGCAGCTCACCACTTCTCCGTAATTTAGAGGAGAGGTAGGTCGGTCCCAGCATGTAAAAGACATGTAGGGGGAAAAAAATAACTGCCCAGGAGATATAAACTCATCTTGCTGTGTATTTTATGACCAGTGAGAGGTCTTAAAGTACCACAACCTGGAAACCTTTTATTTCTTCAACATACAACACACACTACTTGTAGTCACTCTCTTTGAGAGAAGTTCAGGCATTTGAGTCTCTATAGCTAGTTAACCAGTCTGTTCTAGGGAAAGTATTCATAAGAACACCCCACATTTGCTATGGAATGCTTTCAGCAGTGGACTATAGAGTAGTTTACTAGGGCCTGGAGAAAGATACCAAGATAGAAGCCAAATAGAAGCCAAATAGAAGATAGAAGCCAGGCTTTAATGCTGCTGCTCTTAGCAATGTAAATTCAGCAAGACCAAGGCTTAGTATTTCTTTTTAAGAATAAACAATTGTAACAATGGCTGTGTATGTGTGAGTAACCTAGTCAAATATAAGGAAAACAGACTGTCTAAAACAGTCATACTATTCATTTTCTTGGAACTACGTGTCTCATGATACAGTAAGAGTCTTAATTTTTTCTACGTTTCTAATGAAACTACCAAATGCCACTCATCTCATCACATTGTATAATAACAGAGAGGTTTGCCATTTAACTTTTAATATTTAAACGAATCAGAAGAATAAATTCCTATCCAAGCTTCTTCTTGGAACAAGGGAACAAAAAGAGGAGCTTGTGCAAGGAGGGGGAAAAATAGTCATTTTGTAATGGAAAATAACTAAATACCCCTTGCCAGGGAGACAACATTTCCAGGGAGAAATAAAAGTAAAAGATGGAGCAAAAGCCAAGTAATGATCAAAATGGAATGTTAGGAAATGAGGGAGGGGAGACTGAATTTTACTGAAACAAGCCAAATGAAATCATTATGTCCTGGTGTATGTTTCCTTGTTAAATTAAGGAACATTTGAGCCGGGGCTGTGTGCATGAATCAGAAGTCAAACTTTCACATATATAGAATTGAATGAGAAAGCAGAATTATCTATAAAATAATTTACTTTTGGAAAAAGTTGTGGACACTTTTTTAAACATATACCATACTCCTGATAGAGATTTAATGAGTTGGGGGACTAAGAGGTTAGCACATATCCTATCTTTTTATGGGTGGCATACTAATTAGTAGGTTAATTTCATCAAATTTAGTGCCCTCATTTCAAAGGGATAATTAAGTTGAAGGCTACAGATCAGGTGATTTTTGTTTATATCTGCAAATGGAAGCGTTAGGGGGCAATTCTGTCAAATCAAAACCATCATTAAAACAGTTTGCAAAATGAGATATACCTGAGGGAAATTATGTTTCCCAAGTACTTTCAGTACATGTGAAAATCATCTTAAAATCTAGACTTTCATGTATATCAGTTAGGTCAATTCATCAAATACTTATATATAAACTTTTTATTCCTTTCAACTGAGATGCTGATTCTTTGATACTTATAATTTTATCCACTGTATAATATTTTCTTCAAAAAGAACATAAGTTTATTTTATAAAGGGTTGTTCTTTTCCTTACTTGCACAGAAATCCATGTCATCTTGCATTTCACAATAATACAACTGTTAATCATTTAAATTCCCTCTTGGAACCAACTTATATGGCAGCAATATAAACCAGACCTCATGGGTTCTATCTCCATCCCTTCAGCTCCTTTAGTTTGTTTTTCTCTAATATGAAGTCACAGCATTATTTTTCATGATCATACATTTATTTTACTATATTTGTAATTCAATAAAAACTCTCAATTTCCCATTCTACAAGACTGACCTAGCCGGACATGCAAGAAGAATTTTGTATCTTAGTGGAAGAATGGAAGACACTATTTAAAAATCATTAATTTGTGTTAAGCCATACTCTATTAAAGTTTTATAAGACAGGAAAAAAAACTACTTGGGAGGATGCTGTGCACCAAAAAGAAGTCAATAAATATAAAGTGAATTCATCAGTTTTCACAGAGAGTAATAAAGAAATACTACAGCTATAAGAGAGAAATGACTCTCGGTGTGAAAAATTTTTTAGTATTTTGCTTTCCATCTCTATTATGAAGAATTTTATTTTTAGCCAGAAGAAAGGAAGAAAGACACAGCCATTATTTGAGTCCATAAGCAAAATCTAAGACTCCATGTGAGAACAGTAAGTTTGGGGACAGGGCATATGAAGAAATGATAAAAATTTGAATATCAACACAAAACATTCTTTGACCATTTTTTCCTCTCTTACATAGATATCATCACAGTAGACCATACATCCATAAATACAAAATTGAAAAAAAAACCAGAAAATGAGAAATACCCTCTATGCTTGTTACCTTTTGAATTCTTATTAATTAAATAATAATCATTCTGCACAATATAAAGTATAATATTCAAATGTTAATCACAATAATGAATCTACCTACATTGGAATGAAATAGCCTTATTTGGTTAATTATTTCTCATCCTAAACGTTCTTTGGAAGAAGATTTGTTAATTCTAATACCATCTTTAGCAGCAGCAACAGGTACTGATACCTATCTGTTTTTGTATACACTCTCACATCTTCCTATGCTTGAGTTAGTAGCTTGAATATGATGGGAAATACCAGAAAGCCATCACTGGAGTGTTGAGTTAACCATAATGACCTTAAGTAACAACACCACATATGTTTCTGCTCTCCTTGAATAGGGTGCCCGGAAGGCACTTATGGCCCATATTGCCAAAAGACATCTAAGTGTCTGAATGGTGCCAGCTGTGACCCAATGATTGGCACCTGTGACTGCCCTCCTGGCTTCATCGGAGCAGACTGCAGTCAAGGTAACTTACTCATACCTATTATGGAGTAGATACGTTGTTAATTCCGATGTCTGATATCATTTACAGAGATACTAAAGCTGAGTTTTTAGGACTGCAGTTGGAAGATTAAGTGTTGTTGTGACTATTTTACTTAACAATTTGATGCAGTAAGAGCAAACACAAGCTAAACTAAATTCTAAGGTTAGGAGTACTGACCTTACATTTTGATTGTGAACTAAAGGCAGTGAAAATAGCGAAGGAGATACCTTTGGTCATAACCCCTCCTAAACCAACAATGCTGGGTTGCAGTTAGGGTTAGCAAATGTTTGACAAAATCAGAACACACTGGGGATTCCCATATTCATCATGTCAAACACATTACCTAAAGTTTCACGATTTCATTTATCCTCAGCAACTTTCTAGCTCAAAAATAGTTTTTCTATTGAACAAAACGTAACTAGTTCCACCAAATCCAAAGTCCTAAAGTATATATCACAAAAACTATTGGCATAAAGTTTAAAGGACAGAAGTTTGAACAACACTTTAAAAAGGTACAGGCATGGGCCAAGGATTTAGCTCAGTGGTTCCACTGCCTGCCTCACAAGCGCAAGGTCCCGAGTTCGATCCCTGGTACCAAAAAAAAAAAAATTATTGTATGCTTACTATGTAAGAAATAGTGCCAGGCCCAGGCTTAGAGACTATGAAGATATTCTTGACAAGTTTTGTTTTTGTTTTTGTTTTTGTACCAGGGATCGAACTCAGGAGCTTGTGCTTGTGAGGCAGGCGGAGGCACCACTGAGCTAAATCCCTGGCCCTGACAAATTTTTTTTAATCAGATCTTCCAGTTCCTGAATCTTTTGGTGTTTTTTTTTTTTTTTTGATGCCGTGACATAGTCATACTCTCTGACTCCTCTGGTTCTTCTGCTCCCATTTATGTAGTCAGAAGGAAATCCTAGAGCTTGAACTCAGGGTCATGATGATCTTCAAGAGGATAGGGGAGGCAGTGAATAGAAGAACACTTGTGGAGAAATCTTGGCAATATCAATTTTTGGATTGTAAGTTTTGGATAAGAATGCTCACATTGTGATCATTCATTGAACTGCAGTTATGTTTTTTGTGCTCTTTTGTGTAATCATATACCTTACAATTAAAAGGGTAAAAGCACCATTGGTAAGGGATCTAAAGTAAAAAATAGAGGAACTACTGGTTCCCTCATTCAGGCATACACACCTCAGTGTATGTGATTAGGTTATGAAATCCTTTCATTTGCGAGGCTTCCATTTGGAAGAATGGTTTATGCTAAGTTTATGCTTAGGCAGGGTATTAGTTGCCTCTATGATGAAGATAGCCAAATGCTTGTATTTCCTAGGCAATTAGTTGTTCTGTCTGCTTTTTAGGAGGGTAATTTTTCTGTTTAATTATCCTCCTTAGAACCCTGTTTTCCTGCAGATAAAAAAAACAAGACAGTCTTAAATCCAGGTAGTGGACAATTGACACTTAGTAGACACTCCCTCTGAGACCTCTACTGTGCAATTATCTTTGAGTTAAAGCCAACCATAAACATATCCTGGCTAGCTCCTTTGTGTTTGTTCTTCAGAGAGAATCAATGGGACAAATGTCCTTATGCCAAAGTATTTTCAAAAGCTGTGGTTTCCTTGAACATTGAGAATACTTTGTCTTAAGAAAACTGTGATCATGTACCACAACACGTTCCCTGTACTTTGACTGCTAGGTAGGTTAGTACCAAATTTGCAACTCACCTTTTATAAGGTCAGGGAATTATTATATTGGTTTATATTTATATTGTCATCAAATGCTCCATTTACTTGATCTTGGGGTGGTCATTTTATCTTTATGTGTTATTTGTACTTTGATAAGCACCTCAGTGAATTTTTGGAATGACAAAAGTAAAATAAACAAAATAAATAGATTACTAAACACAAAATACATAAATAAATACTTGAAGATGTGACCATTACAGATCTTATAGTGATGTTTAGGAGTATAAACTAAGATTCCAGAATGTAACTTGAAGAGGAAATGCTCAAGATTATTACAAATATAATGTATATGCAATATAAATAGATACACACACATTTGTTAATTCATTAAGTATGTGGCAAAACAAGGCTGGGTTCATACTGAGAACAGTGTTCTTAATTTATAAAAGACAGTATATATACATTTTTGACAGTAGGTGTTTGGTTATACTGTATTTTCCTAATGTCAACTAAAAGTGTTAAAAGTAAAGCAACAGCTTAAAGAGTTCTTACTTTTGCTTTGTTATTTAAAAGTTATCTTTTAGATTGAAAATCAAACTCAAGGTAAATCATTGAAACCTGTTCAATTAAGAGAATGGGCCAAGTACTTACATGTTTTTTAAAATCATAATTGGCAAAAAGGTTCAATAAGAAAAATCTAGTTTTGTTGTGTTTGGCTTTGTTTTGTTCTTTCCTACAGCTTGTCCTGAAGGTCACTATGGGCAAGACTGTGTTCACCGGTGTTCTTGTGGCTTGGGACAGTGTGACCCAGTGACTGGAAGGTGTCAGTGTCCACCTGGCCAAATGGGAGACAGGTGTCAGCAAGGTAACAATAACTGCAGAGTCACCTTGTCTGTCCAGGCAGCACGCTAAAGTGTGAATATAGATTTGGTGCCAAGGAATGTAATTGCATGGGCATTGTTTACAAAACTTTATTCTTTAAATGAGGATTTGGTAACATGAAAGTGCACCTCTATAGACAGCACTATTTAAGAAACAGCCTACTAGAAGGTAAACAAAACTAGGAAATAAAAGCAATTTATGCACATCCTTGACTGGGAAGAAATTTTTAAGCCACTTTGCAACTTTTCGCTAATTTTGTAAAACTGCCAAAAATTGTTTCGCAAATGTCACATTAAAAAACTGAAGAATTTTATAGCCTTCTCAACTGTCATAAAGCTACTATAAAAAAAAAAGGAGACAGTAAAGCATGAATGATGTAGCCAGTAGTAGAACATTTGCCTAGCACACAAAATTTGTAGGTTCAGTTCCCGGGGTGGGGTGGCTTGATGAAAACCATGAAGCTTTCTTTTTTTAAAATCATATTATTGATTATTGTCACAATAACAGAAGAAATATGAAATTCAGTAAAATGAAAACATACAGAGAGTCTGCTGGGTTCCTGCAGCTTTTGGTGGGGCCCGCAAAGCAGCCATATCTCCTTGGCACACACAGACAGGCAAAACTAATCACTCCAGATTGGGTGAAGCTTCCTTGAATCTCCCTGGACATCATATAGTATAGGAAAATGTGAGAAAGGGGAGAAGAAGTATGCAGCTGTATATTTTAACTCTATGTTAGGACAGAGGCGATCTGGGTAATAAGGAGTCTTGAAGCTAAGGAGAGTCAACATGCACATATATGCATACACTCAAGTACATATGACTTACATATGCACACACAGATGCACACATATACACACATGTATACACACATATGCATGCACATATACACATATACATGTGCATACAAACATGCACATACAGATACCTGCACGTTCATATGGGTGTGTATACATGTGCATGTACACACATGTACACGTGCTTGTACATATGCATGCATGTACACACATGTACACACACATATACTCGTGTACCCACATACACGTACGGAGGTCCTCCCACTTGTGTCATATGAAGCATCACTGTGGGCCAAGAAGGCTTCCTAATAACTGAGATAATTTTTCTATTGCTTAATTCATATTCCCTTTTCAGAAATATCTGGGGCATGAAAAAATAAAGCTAGTGAACAAAATACTACCCTCATTTTAGAAGTGAAAATTCAAAACTGTTCAAAGCTTTGCTTGCTTTTTTAGTGCACATTCTGTAAGAAAGAAAGAGGAGAAAAGTAATAGGAAAAACAAAAAGCTGATGGAACTATAGCAGAAAGGTTTTGTTGTGGAACATATGAAGGTATTAACTAACATTTCCTCTATGAATTCAAAAGATGTAATGAAAAAGCATTCTCTATAAAATGTGAGTACAACACAGAGATACAAGAATTCATGGAATAAATGAAAAGACAACAAAAAATAAATGAAAAAGTAAGCTGCTGACTCAGAAAAGTGAAAATGAAATTGAAACCTCATCATATAAATGAAGACCACATTAGAAGCAGATATTGGGAATGTGGAATCTGATATCACAGCCAGGAATATGGAGAGAAAATATGCTGAAAATGAGGATAGGGAGATAATAGAATGAAAAGAATAGAGAATTGTATAAATAGAAGAGGAAATGTTCAAATACAATAGTCAAGATTTTTTCTTTGAAATAGATCTGATGCTACAGATTGAAAGAATACATTTCATTCTGGGAAAAATAGTTGTGATTGATCTTAGGCAAGAGGAAATTGTTGAGGATATAAAGGAAAATATGAGATCACTTAAGAGGGGGGAAATCAGTCTGGCTTTCTACCTCACAGCAATATTTGTTTCTATCATGTGATTAATCAATGCCTATTCAATTATTGGGAAAATATGACTGAAGTATTTTTACAGTTAAGCTGTTATTAAAATATAATATGGTGTCAAAGAAAATATATATGCTTAAAAGAATATATATATATATATATATATATGCTTAAAACATTTCAAAGAAACAATTGAAAAGTAGACCTGAACAAAATAGTAAATGGAAAATCTGTAGTGAAATGACTATAAACATTAAATCCATCTTAATTAGGGCCAAATTTAAAATAATTGTTGAAATTATGGCTATATGACAACAGATAAATATGATAAATTATAACAATGTACAGATTTTAACATAATTTTAATAAGGCATCAACTGGAAGAAGAAGGTGAAGAAGGACAAGTATAATACAGGTAAAGAGAGACAAACCTATACCAAAGCATGTAATTTAAATGACAACTCAATAAGTATGTTTAAGTGTATAACAATAAATTCTAGAATTCAGACTTCTGAAAATGAAGAATTGAATAATAAAATATAGGCAATTAAAATCTAGTAGGGAGAAATGAGAAAAATCAGGAGAAACCAGAATCAGATAAATTCCATCACCATTATTTGTGGGGAGCTAATGTATAATAAATTAAAAAAATTACTGTACTATTTCAAAAGGATTCCCTAGATTATATTAAATTGTATGTATAAGACTTACCTAGAGATTAATGGAGAAAACATACTTTTTCCTATTCTTCCCTCTAAACATAGCAAAAATTCCAGAAAATATGTATGAAACAAATCTAAAAACCTGTGAAATGTGGAGAGAAGAAAGACTGGCTAGGCATCTCAGAAACATTAAAGTCAACATGATGAGATTTTTTTACCTTTCTTTTAGTCTCATATATTCCATTCTGGGTGCTGGAAAATCCTACAATCCAGACACAGCAAAGAATACAGATGAAGAATGTTTAAGATAAGTCTACTTTCTTTTGTCAAAAGATAGGGAATAGGTACAGTCTGGTAAGACTGAACAATAAATGGCCGTCTTCAGCAAACACTACAGAATAAAACTAAATCTCCAACTGCAGTTCCATCAGCAAAGACGAAGTTAGAAGTGTACATTTCAGATCCCACCTAAATGAAATAATGTACCATTCTCCTGCACCGGGATAATGTGAGAAACCAGTGAGTAGCTGGGATTTCCATACCTTGCTGTCAGTGGAGAGAGTGAACTTGCTCCTCTTGTACATAGTAATAGGACAGACCACCTCTCCTTCTGGAGTAGTGTCAGGAGATCTAATGGAAGGTCAGGACCTTCACAATCATCAAGCTGCCATGAGCTCACCCCATGTATTTTTAGCGAAAGTTGAATGGGAAGCAATAAAGAGGTACCTCTACGCCTCAGGGAGGTTGGTATTGGTATCAGCAGAAGTTGGATGGGAATTCTGAATTGCCATTCTGGCCTCACAGGAAAGCAGCCCAATTAGCTTTCCTTCCATTTAGAGGTGAAGCAGGGAACTTGGATTGGACTTCAACCCCTACCTGGTGAACTCCTTTCCTTGCCAGTGCAGTATCGTAGCGGATTTCCAGTGCAAAAAATAGAAGATTTTAATCAGATCCAGAGTATCACATTACAGCATTCAGAATCCGTAGATTAAAACAAAAATTACTCATTATACTAACGACCAGAAAAATTTCAGCTTAAATGAGAAAAGATGGACAACAGAAACCAACTCTCTGCTATATTAACATTAGATTTATCTGACAAAAATTTTAAACCACTCTTTATAAAAATGAGCAACAAAGGACATGCTTAAAAGCAATAAAAAAGTAAAGATTCATCAAAGAATAACAAAAAAGAAGAACCAAATGGAAACTTTAGAAGAAGAAAGTGTAATAAACATTTTAAAATAACTTACTAGGCAGCTTGAAAAGCAGAATGTGGAGGAAATAGAAACAAATTAGTGAACTGAAAACCCATACAAATCAACTAGAGAGAGAGAGAACGAGAGAACAACCCGAAAGTAAATACAAAAATAAATAGAGCCTCAAGGACCTATGGAACTATAAAAAGAAATCTAGCACTATATAATCAGAAGAAAGGAGAAAAAAAACAGGGAAGGCCAAAAAGGTATTCAAAGTAATAATGGCTGAATATTTCATAAACGTGGCAAAAAATAAATCTAAGACTAAAGAATCTAAGTGAATGCCAAAAAGGATAAACTCAAAAAACTACAAATGACATAGCAATATCAAACTTGTGAAAATTAAAAAAGAAAAAAAAATCTTGAAATAATTAAAAGAGAAAACACCTTAGCTGTGGAGGAATACAACTACAAGGCCACAGATTCTTCAATAAAAATATGGTAGGGTTGCAGCATTTTCCAAGTGCTGAAAGAAAAAAAAATCTGCCAATCCAAAATCTTGTATCACTGAAAATATCTTTCAGGAGTAAAAGGGAGATAGAAATCTTCTCAGATGAAAGAAAATTAAGAGAGCTTATTATCAGTACACTTACAGAAAAAAGACAAAGGGAAGTTTTGAAACTGAAAAAAATGGACAAAGAAACATTGAAACTTTAGGAAAGTTAGACTACACTAAAAGAATAGAAATATATGAATGTAAAATATATGTCCTTTCTCCTCCCAAGTTTTTTTTTTTTTTTT